TGAATTTCCTGAGGCATGCGTTACTTAACCAACTCCCTCTGCTTGTTTTATAAAGAATCCTGGTTCAGGTTCGTGTGCAGAAGCTTCCTGGGACCTGTAAAGGTCAGTAGCCAGGGATCAAGGTGCATAGTTGTTCCTCATCACTCTCAGGCTTCCACTCAAGCATTTGCTGTGAATTTTCTTTTCAATTTAGTCCTCACCAGTAATCCATGACCTGATTAAATATAAAGAGACTTCCTGTGCTTTAGATAATAACAATTTACATTTAGAGTGATTTACATTTTTGAAGTACTTTCATGAAGATGTCACTCACCTTCCTGTGTTAGCAGATTCAGTATTGAAAAACTGTTGATTCTCCACCATACTAATGCCAAGGATTGAGCATAAGTCTTAAAAAACTGAGAAGGATGGAGGCACATCCTCAGATCAGAATTACAGGAATAGGGGCTCAATGGGAAACTTTGGAGAAATCCAATAAAGTGGCCAGGAATGACCACCAATTTTTAACAATGTCCATTTGTAAGTGATGTCCAGGTGCTTTTTGTGTAATATGCTAGGGCTTTTTCTAATGTGGTCTCTTGTTTTTGTTTGTCTGCCATTTTCTTCATGATTGGCCTTTTCCCATGTGTTTCTGATCTTCAGTTTGTAAGTTTTACAGGAAGACTATATTCTAGGACTAACCTAAGACCACTCTGGTGTGGGAGGAAGAAAGAGAAGAAATAGATTTGTTTGCAAGTGCATTTGTCTGCTTGGGCTGCCATAACAAAGTGACATAGACCAGATGGCTTAGTCAACAGAGATTTATTTCCTCATAGTTCTGAAGACTAGAAGTCCAAGGTCAAGTTTTCAGCAGGGTTCATTTATCCTGTGGCTTCTCTCCATGGCTTGCAGATGGCAGTTTTCTCTGTGTCCTCACATGGTCTTCCCTCTGTGTGTCTGTCCTAATCTCCTCTCTTATAAAGACACCAGTGAGGCTGGATTAGGATGCACTGTCATGACCTCATTTTAACTCAATTACTTCTTAAAGATTGTATCTCCAAATAGAGTGACATTCTGAGATAGTAAGAGTTAGAGCTTTAATATACGAATTCTGGAGATCACAGTTCAGCCTCTAATACTTGGAGATCACTGATGTGAACTCAACTGCTCTGGATGAGCCACGATTGAATCCCAAGGAAGAGATGAGTATAGCTTCCTTCCTTAACCATAATGAATTTGGTCTTCTCGAGGATGTTTTATTCTAATTGCCTTGCCCAAGTATCCAAGCTCATTCCCATGCCAGCCATAAGTCAGGGACAAAATTCTCCATGGCTCAGAACCTCCTTGTGTTTCTTCTGCCCTCATTTTCCATAGAGGACCCTCATTTCTAGGAAGAGAGAGTCTCTCTAGCTCCTGACAATGGTCATATCAAGTCAGATGTGAAGGTATAAGCCAAAGGAGGCACAATAAATCATTGGATAGGGGAGGGAAAGGGAAGTTTAGGACTGACTATGCATGGGCATGTGACCCTTAGCACTTGATTTTAATACCAGCTTGTATTCTTCCACCTTCTCCTCTTGGTCCTCACCCCTCATACTGTGCAGCCACCTGGCCCCAGAAGACAGTAGGTGCAATGGAAAAAGTTCAGGTTTGGGTTACACAGATCCAAGTTGATCATTTTTGTGCCATTTGCTAGTTGTGTGTCTTGGCCATGTTGCCTAATCTTTGAGGGCCTTGATTTTCTCCTACATAATTGAGGACAATAATATCTACCTTACTGTAGAATGGGGAACATTGCTTGAAATCATGCCTGTAAAGTACATGATACCTAAATGGTGCCTCCCCACTCTCATGATGAAGCCTTATCCTTCAGTACTTCAGAACATGAGTGTATTTGGAGACAGAGTCTTTAAAAAGTGATTAAAATTAAACAGAGTGGATTCTAATTCAAACTGACTTGTGTCCTTATGAGAAGAAGAGAATAGAATACTGAAGCAAAGAGAGACCTTGCAAGAAAGAGGGGCAACACAGCTGTCTGAAAGTCATGGTGAGTGCCTCAAAAAAAAAAAAAAAAAACCAATCCTGTCAACACCTTGACATTGGACTTTCATTCCACAGAATTATGAGGGAATATATTTTTATTCTTTGTCTCACCATTGTGTGGGATCGTGTTACGGTAGCTCTAGCACACAAACATGGCAGACAAATTCCAAGGCTGCCCCCAAATATTCCTGTTTCTCTCCAGGTATTATTCAAATAAGAGATAGTTGGGCCCACTCAGAATGGTTACTCCATGGAGCTAATGACCTGAGAATCTAAATAAGACAAGATACAAGTGAATATGAGAAGATTTAAATTTTAGTTGAAGACATTGGTGAAGGAGGGGTTATTGGAATGGTAAAAGAAACAATGAACAGGGGAGAATTATTCAGGAAATTAAAAACACAATCAAGTTGTGTTCATGGACCTTAGCAAGCTCCCCATCTGATGACACTGTCATTGTGAACAGTGCCACTCCAGATACCTATTCATTCTTTCTATATAAACTCCAGATTTCACAGATAACCCTGAAAACAAATGGGTTTCCTGTTAAGCAGCATACTCAAATCTGCAAGAATTTAACCCAGGTCTTGTGATTTTAATTCCCTAGACTAACAGTTGAGGGATAAGCTACTCATCTTCACTGGTAAGGTGAAAGAAGGATATAAAAGAACTTATTATCTGAACATTTCAGAACCTTCAGAGCAAATCTATTCCTTCCCCTTCCAAAACCTAGAGCACATTCTGTGAGATGAGATATACATTTTGTTTGCAAACCAGCTTTTCCAACCAAGCTTGTGCTTGGTTCACACAAACATTGATCCCCATCCCAATTAAATGACACTTTCTTACCCACAGAGCTAGAGGTCTGTAGACCAGCATACCACTTACAAGGTACAAGTCCTGATACCGAAGCACCTCCATGACATTTGTTACTAACACTGCACAATCACATGACAGTATTTGCATCATGAGGCTTCGTGTAGGAAGTACCTGAAATGTAAGAAACTAGATGAGGTTGGCTGTGGGGAGCTCCAGGGGAAACGTGTCTGCATATGGTGTGAACGCACACAAGAAGCCCATTCCTGCACAAGTGAGAACCTAAGGCTGGGTTACCAGGCTTTCAGATGGTGTGTGACTGGATCACAGCCCCCAGTGGTCTCTCAGGTGTTTCCTAGACAGACCACAGTTTGCACAACCTGAAAGGCTATAGCCCTGCACAGTATCAACCACTAATAATTGCATAGCAAAGGTAACAGACATTTGAGGGCCAAATCACTTTCGATGCCTTTACCACACTGTGGAATATAAAGTATCAGCTTCTGGGGGACAGGCCAGAAAGGAGGGTTTTCTGAGAGATGTGTCTGTGGAGAGCATGTGCCCCACAGAGGGAAGTGGGGCCTGACTCCACACCTCAGACGGCTTGGGGTTTCCACAAGCTGCTTGCAGAATTTACCAAGGGACACCTCTAACTGAGGGCAGAAAAGGCTGGACTCTTTACCAGCTGGATATTCAGAGACAGGCCATAGCACAGTGATAAAAACCCTGATTGATGTCAGATTTCATCCCTGGAATTAGAAACATGACTGTTTTTGAAAAGATAGTGTTTGGAGATATTACTAGGGTAAGGATCATGAGATGGGGAGCTGATCCTGGATTATCCTGAATGCGGACAATGTGAGCACCAAATGCAGCTATTCAACTCCTCCTACAAAAGAGGCAGAGGCAGATTCATAACCCACAGAACAGAAAGCCATGTACCCACAGAGGCATTGGATAGAGTGATGTGGCCAGAAGTCAAGAACTGATAGCAGCTACCAGGTTTTGCAAAGGTCAAAGAACAGGTTCTCCCTGGAGCCTGGAGGATCCTGGCCCTGCTGACCCTGTAATTAAAGCCAGTGAAACTGACTTTGGAATCTTGTCTTCCAGAACCATGAGAGGATACTTTTCTGTTCAAAGTCATCCAGTTTGTTTGTATTAGTCACTTTCCTATTGCTGGGACAAAGTACTCAACAACTGAAACTTAAAGGTGGAACGGTTTATTTGGACTCACAGTTTCGGTGGTTTTAGTCCATGGTCAATTGGTTGTGAGCAAGAAATATCATGGTGGAAGGATATGGTGAAATAAAGCTGCTCACTTCATGGCAGCCATGAAACAGAGAAAAGGGAGGAGCCAAGGACAAGAACACACCCTTCCATGTTAAACCTCCCGTGACTCACTCCCCACTAGCTCCACTTCTGAATGCTCTTAGAGGGACATTTTAGATCTAAACCAATTCAGTGGTCATTTCATTTATTTTATAGCAGCCACAGGGAGCTAACATGCAGACTACCCTGGAGGTTGTCACGAGGAGAGACAGAGGAGAATTAGAACCAGGTGGGGGCCATGTTGAGAGGGAACCAGTATAGGTCATGGAGGGCCTTGACTTCTAGGGTCACTGGGAGGGGCAGAGCTCCAGCAGAGAGACACTGGAGGTAAACCTGAGGATTAAGGAAGACAACTCAAGTGACCACCCAGAAGATCAAGGAAGGACAGACCTCCTCAAGGACCCCACAATGCAGAGACCCTCATGAACGGTGAAAGAATGCAAAGCTACCTTCACCCCTGCTCAGGTAAAGGTGACCTCACCCCTTCCCCTCTCCCAGGTCTGACCTCTTGAGGAGGAAGAACACAGGGCAGAGAAGACCACAGCAGGAAGGGAGCCAAAGTAGCCTCTTTCCCAAGGCAGCTTCCAGCCCTGAGCAGACTCAGCTAGAGTAGGGAGGAAAATGGGATGTTAAAATGTGGAGTTTTGACTAATATCTTGGCCCGGACATTGAAATTCCAAATTGAGACTGTTTTCCATTTAAAGCGACCATTGGACAGACTATTTCCTAAGAGGAGCCGAAAAGTGAGAGCCTGCCAAGGTTTTCATCCCAAGCCAGGGAACATGAGTTGGGCTGCATAAATCTTAAAGGACAAAAGCTGAGGTTGTCTTCCATGCATCTCACAAGCTGGGTTTATTCAACATGCTGCTTATACAGAGACTGGTGAAAACATCTCAGTGGAATGAAGAGGAGCTGAGTTCCGGTGAAAGGAAACAATGCAAATTTGTTTTCAGTATCACTTGCAAGCTTCCTGAGTGGAGCCCTCGGCCTGGAATGACTTGCATTGACGTCAGCTGAGGTCGCAGTATCGTGGCAGCTGCAGCTCTGGCCTCGGCCTTGCCGCCGCAGCCCCCAGGCAGAAAACACACTGCATTTGTTTCATGGAAGATTAAAAACATTTGCTGCTGTGGCCATAATTCACAACTTCTGTTATCACTGGACACAGGAATACAGAACAAAACATACTTAGCACCGACGTCAAAACCCAGAGGAGACCAGAGGTGCCACGTGAGGGTCACGGACAGCTGGGGCCAGCATGCCATCCATACTGTCCTCCTGGAAGGCAAGAAAGAGAAATTTGTGCCACACATCAGGAAGTCCTGTTTTGAACTCCATCTTGTGCATGAGAGTGTTCTGCGTCTGGGCCCCCAGGAGAAGGAAAGGACAGGGTCACCTAGCCCAGGACACGCTCCTCTGGTCTCTGGGATCCAGTGCAGCAGCAGCAGCAGTCAGGATGGGAGAGGAAGTCCTCACCCAGGGCTAGTTCAGGCTGGCTTGAGTGGCAGCAATGCTGATTGTTATGTGACTGAAACCCTGCATCCACCTTGGACTTTCTAGTCCTTTCTAGAAACCAGGATGATGCTCTGGTAATGTGGCCCATGTATCACAGGTTGGTTCCTCTTCAGAAGTTCTGGTGCAATCTGTTATTTCCCAGCCAGAGAGAACTCCACACCTGTCTACACTGCTGGATCCTTAAATGATCATTTCTGGAAACCCATCCCAAAATGTGAGGTGACAGAAGCCAGTAGACCCAGGGATCCTTTTCCTTTGTCTGGTCCAGGACAGATGGTCTTTTTAACTAAACCGGTCTTTTGGATACAAGCAGAGGAATATGTTGGACATAGTATCACCTACCTGTTATCCCAGCATTCTGGAAGGCTGAGGCAAGAGGATTGTAAGTTTGAGTATAGCCTGGCCAACTTAGCAATTTCATGAGCCCCTATCTCAGAATAAAAAATACAAAAAGGGAAAGCTGGACACGGTATCACATGCCCATAATCTCAGCATTTGGGAGGCTAAGGTAGGATGATCACTGCACATTTGAGGCCAGCCTGGGGTACAAAATGACTTCAAGGCCAGCCTGAACTGCATAGTGAAACCCTGTTATCAAAAAGACATACATACATGAATATATGCATACATACATACATGGTTAGTTCATGAGGGCTTTAAATCCAGCAGTGGATTAATTCACTCAACACAGGTGCTGATAACGGAAAGGGCTTGCTTACCTGCATCACTATCTAACGTATTCAAAAAGGAGCTCAGCTGTTCCATCTAGACCCCATCATTGTTTGACCAAATACCAATAGAATGATCCCAGACTTCCTAACATGGATCAAACTAGCTTGTCCAGCTTTTCCCTCCCCTGCACCCCCAGGCCAGAAAATGTAGGTTCCTTGCTGGTTGCCAAGTGTGGGGTGAAACTATACATCTGTATCCCTGATATTTTCTTTTCATGAAATCCCCCACTCTCTTTCTTCATAAGTTCTTCAGGATGCGTGAGGAATGTTATGGCTTTTATCTAGATGCCTGCCCCCCACCAAAGCCTCATGTAGTCATCAAAGGGACTTTTCAGCGTTGACTGGACCTAGAGTGTGTGATGCTGGGATCAAGGTTAGGTGATTACTGAATTACTCTGCTGATTGGTTTGGCATAGTTCTGGGAGTGGCTTATGAGAACATCTTCCCTGGGTGTGACTGCTACCACCCTGCCACGGAGCCAGCCAATTATGGACTAAAACTTATACAAACTGAGCTAAATCAACCTTTCCCCCTTTAAATTTGGGTGTCAGGTATTTTGTCCCAACAATGAAAGAAAAGTAACTAAGACAGGTATTTCATTCCTTCTTCAGCTGGACTTTATCTGACTTTGTCAGACAGACTTATTAGGAAGGAGAGTTGATATCACTGAGCATTTTCTTTGAGCTGTTTGCTAGACTGGTCACTTTACTGTATGACACATTTAACTTTTATGCATTAATCCTAGGGATAAAGCAAGGATAGTATCATTTTCTTGAGGATAGAATAAAGTAGGTGAATGGGTTCAGGTCAGAATACTTTTTCTGTAAAGAGCCAGTAATGCTAAATATTTTAGCTTTGACAGACTGAATGTATTTCTGTTGTAACTACTCTGCCCTTGAATACAAAAACAGCCATTGATGACAAGCTCTAAGCATGTTCCAATAAAACTTTATTTATAAAAATAGTCCAGATAAGGCATGCTAGCAGTACTTTGCCAATTCCTGGTTTAGACTGGAATGTAGATGTGAAACTCTACACCAGCCTCAGAGTTTTTCCTTTTAGTCCTCTCCTCTTTGGCAGGCCTAGATGCTCTTACCCAAAGCCTCCCAGACACTGCTGAGAGCTCCAAAGATGATGCATAAAGATAATTTGCTCAACAGAGGGAGAACTGCTTTGCCAGGAGTGCTGAGTGTTTTGATAATCAATCAATCAGTCAGTCAAAGAGAAGCCTCATTAAGCACATGGTGCTATACCACCCAGAGACAGGGAGCTGGGGAGGTTTGGTCTATGATAAACAGCACATGGATAGATGAGAGATCCTCAGTTCCTGTTATCCAGGTCCTACTCACAGGTTTTGTTCTGTATAATCTTTGAAAGTCACATTTTTATTTTCTTCATTTGAACAATGAAGAAATTCTAGCAAATGGAAACGTATTTCTGTGCAACAGAGAGCATCTCAGCAAGGGCTTCTCAGAGGTGTCTGGAAGGAGGGCAGTCACACATGAATGGCCTTGGGTCAGCCTGCACCCTGAGGGGGTGGCAGAGCAGCAACAGTACATGGGCATCAGAGCATGGACTCAGGGTCGGGAGAGATGTAAAAGGAATGAGCAGTGGATTGAAGACTCGGAGAATTTTGTGCTATCCTTGCAAGAAGGAGGGGACTCTCTAGTATGTGTGTAGATCAAGAGAGCAGGGAAATCCATACCAGCTGGGGCTGGACAGGACGTAGAGATGAGCTGAGGGGGCTAGGCAAAGCCACCCAGAGCAATAGGAATGGGGTGAACTGGCAAGTATGCGTACTCAGCCGTGCTGGTCCTTCACTGGTACATCCTCAACTCAGTGCTCATAGGGGCCAGCGTTACGAGTAGGGGGACGATTTTTAAGAATTCCACAAATGTAGATTGTATAGGGGAGTTCCCAATCTTTGAAAATTGAATAATATAAAAATTTAAATCAAATGGTGCCAGCCAAATAAAATACAGTTGGTCATATCTTTCCCAAATTACTTGGTGATAACCACAAGTGTAGACGGTGAGGCCAGTTTCAGAAAGCATTTCAGAGAACACAGAACTAGGAAGCAGAGCTGACTGCAACCTCCACACCCCACCTGGCAGGAGGATCCCTGGACAACTTATGGGGATCACTAAACATAGGATGCCAAACAGACTTGAATTTCAGGTAAGAGACCAGTGCTTTTTTAGTATAAATATGTCCTGCTTATCACATGGGACATACTTGTATCCCCCATATTGTTTGTTTATCTGAAATTCAATTCAAATTTATCAGAGTATCTTGCATTTTTGTTTGCTAAAGCTGGCAGCTATTTCTAGAATGTCGACCTGGCTCCAGTGGGTCATGCAGTCCCTTCTCTCCAGGCAGCAATCTGCCCTTAAGGACACAGACACATATTGCACAAGGCAGATGCCAAGGGGAGAAGCATGTCTGAAACACACTAGGAGGTTCAGGCTTGCCACCTTTGACATCCAAGGATGGATATTCTGGAACCATCTCAACCCCTTCCCAGTTGTATGTTCTTTGTCCCTCTGAGCCTCAGTTTCCTCATCTCTTCAATGAATATGGAAATTTCCTTCATACTAGATTGTCCCAGGACCAAATGGAATAAATATGAAAGCATACTGCACAGGGTGACATGAGGCAGATATGCAACTAATGTTTGTTATATATTAAATCAAAGTCCTTAACCTCCCAATGCTGTTTGATTCCTGCAGCACCTGGTCTGTAAGCTGTGTATCACAAGATGGAGCAGGTGAGATTCCTACAGGAAGGAGGGACACAGAGGTACTGAGCTGCTGGTGAACTTTCCCAGTTACAGTTCAGGGGAGCAGAATGCCCTGGTTTTCTATTCTTTTTGGATTGCAGGCCAAATGTACAAAAAAATCTCCCTTCCTAACTCTGGCTTCAAGGCATGGTCATGGCTGCAAGTGGCATGAGACAGCTTCTAAAGCAATGTGTTCTTTGAAAGGCTCAGAAAGACTCAGACCAGTTCTAGCGACCATCCATCCCTACTCTGCCTCTGGCCTCTGGGAGTCAGGCCTGCAGCGGAACAGCTGGGATGGCTTTGAACATTCCAAGGAAGAAACAAAACCTGGAGCTTGAAAGGCTTTGTTTTACCCACTTCTCCCCCACACTGCCTAAAAGATGACAAAGGACATCTGTGCTCGCAACATAAAGGAGCCTGGACCACATACTTATCCAATGCTAACATCCCTACCCCCTAGTCCCCCACATATGTATTTAAAGATCTTTGAGGGAGTCACTTCAAACTGCTTCCCTTGAACATGAAAGCTATTCCATTAATTTGCTCAGGCTGCTGTAACAAAGTGCCACAGACTATACAACTTAAACAACAGACATTTATGGCCCCTCAGTCCTGGAGGCTAGAAGCCTGAGATCAAGGTGACAGCAGGCTGTAAGAGGATGCACTCCAGCATTCTCGCCTGGCTTGTAGATGTCATCTTCACATTCACAGCATTCTCTGTATGGCTGTGTCCAAGTTCCCCTCATTACAAGGACACCAGTCCTATGGGGCTCATGCCTGCCTGATGAGCTCATTTTTGTGGTCCTCTCTTCAAATAGTGGCCCATTTGGAGGCACCAGAGGCTAGGCATTCAACACAGGAATATGGAGGAGACACAATTCAACCTGTAGCAATTACCTACTATGTTAGAATAGAATAAAGTCTGTGAATCCAGAAGTCTGTTGTGGTTAGCTATTAAAGTTGATCACAAATACTCCTGTACTGCAGGGATGGATCTCAAACTAATTATGCTGAGTAAAGGAAGCCTCATAAAAAGGGAACATACTGTGTGACAGCACTGGTATAAATTGAACAAAATGTAAACTAGTCCATACAGTCACAGAGAGCAGTCTGGCTTCCTGGAGACTGTGGAGTAGGATTGTCTGGGATCGGAATACAAGGGGGCAAGGAAATTTCTGGAAATTATAGCCATGCTTATTGTCATGAATGTAGTACTAATTTCGCAGGTACAGTGTGGATCAAATTTATCAAAC